CTCCATCTCAAAAAAAAAAAAAAAAAATCACTAAAGGAGGACAATTGGGTTATTTGTAACTCAGAGAAAGGATAAATGCTTGAGGGAATGGATACCCCATTTACCCTGATGTGATTATTACGCATTGGATGCCTGTATCAAAATATCTCATGCATCCCATAAATGCATACGCCTACTATGTACCCACAAAAGTTAAAAATTGAAAGGGATCATGGGGCTGGGCTTGGTGGCTCACACCTGTAATCCTAGCACTTTGAGAGGCCGAGGCGGGGGCAGATCACCTGAGGTCAGGAATTCGAGACCAGCCTGGCCAACATGGTGAAACGCTGTCTTTACTAAAAATACAAAAAAATAGCCGGGCTTGGTGGTGTACACCTATAATTCCAGCTACTTGGGAGGCTGAGGCAGGAGAATTGCTTGAACCCTGGAGGCGGAGGTTACAGTTATAGCTGAGATTGCCTATAATCCCAGCTACTCAGGAAACAGGCAGGAGAACTGCTTGAACCTAGGAGGTGGAGGTTGCAGTGAGTGGAGATTGTGCCACTGCACTCCAGCCTGGGTGACAGAGCAACTCTGTCTCAAAAAAAAAAAAAAAAAAAAAAAGGCCAGGTGCAGTGGCTCAAGCCTGTAATCCCCAGCACTTTGGGAGGCCAAGGTGGGCGGATCACAATGTCAGGAGATTGAGACCATCCTGGCCAATATGGTAAAGCCCCATTTCTACTAAAAATACCAATATTAGCTGGGCGTGGTGGCACATGCCTGTGATCCCAGCTCCTCAGGAGGCTGATGCGGGAGAATCGCTTGAAAGGGGAGGCAGAGATTGCAGTGAGCCAAGATTGTGCCACTGCACTGCAGCCTGGCAACAGGGAGTGACTCCGTCTCAAAAAAAAAAAAAGATCATGAAACAGCCCCTGCCTCCCACCCACCCTGTGCCCACTTCCCCACTGTCTCAGTTTCGGCCAGGGTTGTCTCCAGTCCTATTTCAATGTCCCCCTTGTCAGGAAGCCTAGGTGTCCCCCGTGAGCAGTACAACCAGAAAACTCAGGAACATTATCACGTTTATTTCTTGTTGTCAAGCCAGAAACGAACCAAGATAAGCACATCTTGGGTGAAGGAACAACTCCTTAGTGCAGCCACAGCCCAGCTCTCCTGGGATCGGGGGCATGTCCTCTCTCCTTTCCTTCACTCCCTCCTGTTTAACTTGGGACTCTGAACGGAAACTCAACTCTTCCCCCAAACATTTTAAATCCAAAAAGACCAGCAGGGGGCACCCTTTCCTCAGGGTCTGGCCCTGCCCAGACCAGGCAGGCCCCCTGCCTGCAACTTGGCATCTGTTGTTCTAGTGCCTGGGGACCCCCATGCATGGAGCATCTGTGCCTCTATTTTGAAACAACTCTGTCAAACCCAAAAAACCACACAGGATCTCGCTAACCTGCGGGCAGGACTAACCCAGACTCAGCCCTCTGCAGGTTGATGCCAATTCCTTAGTGCTTTGCTCTCCCCAGATGCGTCCTCTCTCGGGAATGGGTGGGAGGCAGCTGGGGCAGCAGCTGCTCGAGAGAGGATCTGAGTGTGGCCTTGACGTTCTCAAAGGCAGAATCGCGGCACCACATACTGGCGGGTGGCTGGGGAGGGCTCCGGGGACGAGAAGTATGGGTGGGCCAGGGCCGTCTTGGCCGTGATCCGCCGGCTGGGGTCATACTGCAGGAGTTGCTGGGAAGGAAGGAGGAGGAGGAAGATGGGGTCTAAATGCAGCCAGGGTGGGGTGAGTAATTCCCCTCCCAGGTCCCAGATCAAGGTCCTGAGCCCCAAAACGGCTGCCCTCAAACCTAGAACCGCATGAAACCACAAACTCCCGGCTCTCCAGCCAGTTCCGGACACTCCTGGAATCTGGACAGTCCTAATGAGTCACCCAGGTCTCCTCAGGCCACTGAAGCTGAGTCACCCCACTCCCTGGGGAGGGTCCCAGGTCCCAGCCTGCTTTTAGTCAGGAAGATCCCCGACGTATCAGGAAGCAGGGGACTGAAGCTGTCCAGGGAGCAACCCTGAGCGGGGGGCATGGGAACTGACACTCTAAGAAGTCAGACCTGTCCAGCCCTGTACCATAGGGTCCCTAAACTCAGGCAGGATGTGGAAGGACACCTGTCATGGACCAGCCTGGAAGGAGGGCTCAGAGCCTTGGCTGGAGTCCGTGCCATCCTGCTGCCCCTGGGCGGGTAGACAACACACGGAGATTTCTGGAGAGCTGGGCACACGACCTGAAGATGAAAATACTGACCCGCCTTCCTCTCACTCAACACCAGATTAAGGACAGAAATGTGGCTCCAAGACTTTGTGGGCAAGAATGGAGGGTGGATGGGTGAAGTGGCTCACATCTGTAATTCCCCCAGCACTTTGAGAGGCTAAGACAGGAGGATCGCTTGAGCCCAGGAGTTCGGGACCAGTCTGGGCAACTAGTGAGACCCCCTCCTTTTTTTTTTTTT